CTATGTTACTTTGTGCAATTAAGAATAGAAACTTCAACTTTCTTAACAGGAAAGTTTATGATAGTCAGCCAAATGGTTGGACAATTTTAGCAAACTCCAATATATTGGACAATCCTGTCGCGTTCGTGGCATACTGCAAACTGATTGCAATATTTTGAAACATGCACCAGCATAAAATTTATCCCGCAAAATGGTTCCTAAGTCCCGAAGGTCCCCAGTTTACAGCGCCTCTTGGCTCTGCCTGTACGATGTGGAAAAAAGAGTTTGCTATATTGTCCAACCATTTGGCTGACTCAGTTCATCAACTTTCCTGTGAAAAAAGGGAACAATATCTCACTCATGAAGCAAAGTTAGATTCATAAGCGAATGATAAAGAAACTCTCGTTCCTGGAGAAGAGCTTGATATCTAGAAAACTTTGGAAAATATTTTGAAACGACAAAAGAGCATGGAAGCGAACTTCAATGTCAACGAATATCTCAGAGTCGCAAGAGAACGGCATGAACAATCTGACGGTAATATATATACCTCAAAGACGAATGAAAACCCCGCAAAGAAGAAGCGTCCTTGCATTAATAAATGCTTCCGTGAAGCGGTATAATTTGTCCCATAATTTGTACACACCTATAGTAGGCTATACAACACAAAACTGTTATTTATATTTTGAACTGAGAACCAGTCGACGGTGAAGCTGAACGAACAACTGACTGAGAATAGTGACCAGTCCCGGGGTGAAAGCTGAATCCTCGAAAGCTGAATTACGAGTACATGAAACCTAAGTATGGCTGCAACGCGGAGGAGTTGTTCACAGATACGGTTAGCCTCTGTTATGAGATCAAGACTAACGATATTTATCAAGACATGCTGCAGGACATAGGTCTTTTTGACACTTCCGAATACACACGAGACCATCAATTGTGCAGCCTAACGAACAAGAAAGTCTTTGGCAAGATGAAGGATGAAACTTCTTTCGATAATTTGTGGGTCAGTTGTCCATGACTCTATGTGCTCCTAACTGTGGCAAGAAAAGGCTCGGAAAGAGCAAGCAAAGGATATGTGATACTGATGTTGTTTGTCTTACAATGAGTGAAGGTAAGCTTTGATGAATGTTTAAATTAATGTTAACGTAATATATAACTGAAAAACGTTGTCATATGGACGGTGCGATTAGTGCATTTTCCTGTCAAAACTGGGACTGTAGAGTTCAATTGTGAATTAGCCTTTATCATTCATAAAGGCTAAAATCCGCCATTTTGGGGTACTATGTAAAAGATTCTAGACAAATACACTATATGAAAAGCGACTTCTAACAGTTGTAACTGCATGTTAATTTACCATTATATACAAACAACTACAATACTAAAAAGTTGTATTCAATGGCTGAGAGATTCGATTCTTGTGAAAGGGCAGATAGTTGCATTCAGTGGCGGAAATCTTGGTGGGGCAGGGGGACGGCCGCTCCCCCCCCCCCCCCCACCACGGAAAATTGACGAATTTTCGGAAATTTTGACCTAAAAGGGGGCTAAAAACAGTCTTTTCGAGTGCAGATGGAAGGGGGGGGGGGGGTATGTCGGAAATTTGAGAGTTTTGTCGGAAATTTAGGAGGCTTTGCCCCCCCCCCCCCGAAAAAAGTGAATTTCCATTTTTCACAGCTGCACCTGGTCAGGTCCAAAAAGTGTGTATGATCTCGAAATTTCCACCTACAAACATCCCTCAACTGTTAGTTCTATCGAGCGAGATGGCCAAAAATCTCGATATTTAGACATGTCTTTGGCATGTACGCGTGTCTTCTAATTAGCCTTTCTCACGATGACGAATATCCACCATTTTTGGGTGGCATCAAATTTTCATTATCCAATGCAGGCAATTAAAACAATGTGAAAAGCAATTTTTCAAAATAAACTAACCATTTACAAAGCAAATTTACCATTAAATTCATCAAAAAAATTATAAAAAGTCACTGTTATGTGGACTTATCTCGCAGACTTTGGCTCAAATGCCACCCAAAAATGGCGGCGTGAGAAAGGCCAATTGTAAACAACAACGAGAAACTATTGTAGAACCTATTCTAACATGTCAGCAGTATCACAGCAATAGCCAATACCGAGTGAAATGAATGTAACTGGAACGTTACCCCCAACCGGAAATTTGAAGCCAAACTGGAAGGCCAGTCCCAGTCTTTTCATGCATACGAAGAGCACGGTCAATCCCGTCAACATGAAATAATATTCTCCAAAACCGGCCTAAAATTTACAACGCTGAAAACTTTCTATTAATGCAATTATTCACTGGTATAACGTCCTTGTAGACTTTACGTTTAGTTTTTTCTTATTAAAATGGCATGCTCTCTCTCTGCATGAACTGTTCTCGCGAGAGAATCGCGAGGCATATAAACCTGCAGGTCTTGACCCCCAGTCTATAGGGGTCAGATTTGGCTTCAAGAAAAAGATAGGCAGTTTACCCGAAGGTAGCATTCCAGTCCTATTTATTCGGCCAAATATCCGCGCTTGGGCTTCTATTATTAGTTTTCTTTAATTAAAAATTGCCTATCAATACAATTTCTGCAATTTTGCCACGAGAAGCCACCCGTTAAAATAACCTTAATAATTTTTTACGAGCAAGCAAGCCGTCGCCAGTTTTGCTAGTTCACCTGTTGTAATCATTTGCACATTTCATATTTAATGTCAACTGTTCTTCCTGGCCGTTAATTGAACAGTTAGGCTCACGAACAACACGAATTAAGCCGGGGGTGAACATGTAAAAGCTAAACAAACATTATAGATATAGTTGTAATATTATGCCTTGTCATTCTTTATATTTATATTAATAGGTTTTTGAAATTGGTCTACTTTGACATGCCTAGCCTTGGACTACAAAAGTATACATAAAAGATATCTTGTATGCGATTTGAATCAAAATATTCTAAAGTGTGTACATGAAACCGGTTAAAAATGCAATTTGAATAAAGCAGGACCGCGTATTTGTATCCGTGACTGTGAAAGCGAGCTATATATGTGACAGGTGTCGCGTTCCCACGCTATCACTGCATGCAGAATTAGCATATTCATGCATTTCTTGACGTTAAAGCCAACGAGAGTTTGTATGAGGGTCTAGATGGTGGGGGAAGGGGTCTAAAAACACCCGGGAACTGTAAATGGCTTTGAATCTGCTGAAAAGTGTTTTGAAACGCTTCACGGTAAAATTTTTAGTGATTAAAAAATTTTTAGTGGCAAATTTTTTAGGGGCCGATTACATGGAGAACTTTCAACCTCGGGGTTGACTCAGCCCTGTTAACCGGGTTGGAAATTTTTGCGATTACATACATGAACGATTTCAACCCCGGGGTTGAAACGCTATATTACACGTTCTCGGCATCGATTCCTGGAAGTAAAAAAGCCTTCATTTTGTTTTCTTGTAATATATAGTAACTACCACGCATGCTCGAATAAGTCAGATAATTTCAGCCCTGGGTTGAAAAGATTACATGACAAAATGTTCAACCCAGGGCTGAGTTCAACCCCGGGGGTTGAAATTTCAACCCGGGATGAAGCAAGGTTGAACTCAGCCCTGGGTTGAAAATTTTGTCATGTAATCGCGCGTTTGATTTTGATAGAGTTTTGTATTACAGATAGGGCTGAAATTTCAACCCGGTAAACAGGAATGAGTTCAACCCCTGGGTTGAAAATGCTCCATGTAAACGGCCTCTTAGTGTAATTTTTTTTCTTCACGTTAAAATTTCACGCTTCACGGTAAAATTGTTAGTGTTTTCACGACTGACGGAATTGAGCAACACGACTGACGATATACCCCCATATCAACGCCTTCTTGTATGCGTGGGGTTTTCTCAAGTCGTATGCCACGCAACTATAAACGAGGACAAGAGTTTCACGAGAGTTGACTCGATAGAGCGGCTTGAAGGGATCACATGTTAACTGAGATTTGCCGATTTGTGAACTGGGAAAATTGGACGGGAATGACAGACACAAAAAATACGAATGGGAAAACCCATAATCCATGACCATGTACCATTTTAAAAGCAGTTGCATGCAGTTGGACATTTCAGAGTTTAAGTTAATTCAAGTAAAGCTACTGAGCAACTTTTGATAAAAATATCCTGGAAGACTTCATTCTCCCTTTTCCCGGCTCGAAAAAACATTTTTCTTCTATTGCGTGTCATCGATTTATTCCCCCGCCCCCTTCAGCTAGACCCTGGATTAATCCGCGCGCGCGTTGCTTATCAACGCCCATCAAAAATTTGAACCAACTCGTGCAAATATCTATTATACATCAAGTGCAGCCAGACTTTCACAAATATCGAATATAGAAGACGCACTTTATAGGATGTGTGTTGACTGGAATATGTGTAATTACCATATCTATGGTAATTACCGAGTAAAAATGGCTGCATGATTCCTCCAAAAACCTCTTTGAAACGTCTTTGAAAATAGGCAGAAAGAACTCTTTAAAACTGGACCGTTTTATAATGAAATTTCACACTGACACGCAGTCGTGCATGCTATATTCATTCACTCCGAGTGGCAAGTGGATGAAGTAACAAGTCATTTTGTCTGTGACTAAGTCAAGCCATCCCGCGGTAAAGTTTTTTTTACTATTCGTTGTTTGCAATCACGTGCAGACTTTTCATCCAAATGACGGGCAATCTATAACAACTTGTGGACGATTTTTTCTCCTAACAGAATGGTTGTAGCAAGAAAAACTGAACGGTAATTCATCTTTTGAGTCTTAAACTGTCT